TCCCTTCAACGGGGAAGGCCAAAACAGGGAGAGGCCCGCGTACCACAAAAAAAAAAAAAAAGTCCAGATATGCCTCTGCCTCATTGTCTCTCTCCTTCTGTAACTTAGATTAAACATTAAGAATCCTTTTTTTTTTTTTTTCGGTACGCGGGCCTCTCACCACTGTGGCCTTTCCCGTTGCGAAGCACAGGCTCCGGATGCGCAGGCTCAGCGGCCATGGCTCCCGGGCCCAGCCGCTCCACGGCACGTCGGATCCTCCCGGACCGGGGCACGAACCCGCGCCCTCTGCATCGGCAGGCGGACTCCCAACCACTGCGCCACCAGGGAAGCCCAGAATCCTTTATTTTTTTTACCCACTGTTTTTTCCATCCTTTTGTCTCTGCCGCATTCTGGATTTCTTCTATGTGTTGAGCTTGTAATCTGGGGTCTTGCTAAATTCCTTTATTAATTGCAGGAGGTTTTTTGGTAGATTCCTTGGGATTTTTAATGTAGACAATCTGCAAATAGGGAGATTTATTTCTTTTTCCTTTCCAGTCTGTGTGCTTATTATGTCCTTTTCTTGCCTTACTGTGCTGGCTAGACTTCCAATACTATGTTGAATAAGAATGGCCAGAGAAGATATCCTTGACTTGTTCCTTATCCTACTAAGAGGAAGGTATTCAGTCTTACCAGGTTGAGGAAGTTCCCCTCTGTGCCTGCTTTACTGAGTTTTTGTCATGAATAGGTGTTGAATTTTGTCAAATGCTTTTTCTGTATCAATTGACACGGTCATATGATTTTTATTCCTTAGCTTCTTTATTTATTTATTATTTTTGCCTGCGTTGGGTCTTCGTTGCTACTCTTTGTTGCGGCGTGCGGGCTTCTCATTGCAGTGCCTTCTCTTGTTGCGGAGCACGGGCTCTAGAGCGCAGGCTCAGTAGTTGTGGCATGTGGGCTCAGTAGTTGTGGCTCACGGGCTCTAGAGCACGGGCTCAGCAGTTGTGGCACACGAGCTTAGTTGCTCCGCGGCATGTGGGATCTTCCTGGACTAGGGCTCGAACCCGTGTCCCCTGCATTGGCAGGCGGATTCTTAACCACTGCGCCACGAGGGAAGCCCTCTTAGCTTCTTGATATAGTAGATTACATTGATTCATTTTCAAATGTTGAACCAGCTTTGCATATCTGGAATAAATCCCTTGGCCATGTTATATAATTCTTTTTACATATTGCTAGATTCAATTTGCTAATATTGTATTGAAGATTTTAGTAGGTATGTTCATGGGATATTGGTCTGTAGTTTTTTTGTTTTTGTTTTGTTTTGTACTGTTCGGTCTGGTTTTGGTATCAAAATAATAATGGCCTTATAAAATGAGTTGAGAGGTGTTCCCTGCTTTTCTAATTTCTGGAGATGGTATAGAATGGTGCTAATTCTTGTAATGATTGGTAGCATTCTTCAATGAAACCATCACCATCTGGGCCTGGATATTATTTGGGGGGAAGTCTTTTAATTACAAATTCATTTTTTTAAAGTAGTTATAAGATTATTCAGATGATCTATTTCATATCAGGTGAAGTTTTGTAGCTTATGGTTTTGGCGGAATTGATCCATTTCCTCTAAGTTGTTAAATTTATGTGCATGAATAATTTCTTTTGACCTATCTTCCAGTTCACTAATTCTCCCTGAAGCTTCTGTTAAAGGGATTTATTGATGGATTTAGTTATTGTATTTTTCATTTCTAAAAAGGTTCTAGTTGATCTTTTAAATAACTCCCATTTCACTTGTTGCCATTTCTTGTTCCCTGTGGGTATTTTTAAGTTTGTCATTTATTTCCTTGAAAATAGCAACCATGAACGTTTTATAGTACCTTGTAATTCAAGTATCTGAAGTCTTTGACAATCACTTTCTGTTACCCATTATTTCCATTGGTGAGAACCTTTTCTTGTATGCTTTTAAAAAAAATAATTGTATCTTTGCAGGAAAATATGTGGAAATAACTGGAGGGGAGATAAAACGTCCCTTCCTCCAAAAAGTAATTTCATTTATTTATATCAGACACCTGGAGACACAAATAGTACAGGGTCGTTTTCTTCTTTTTTTTTTCTTCTTTTTTCTTTTTTTCTTTGTATTTAGAACAGGGTCCTCTTAGGCCAAGTTCAAGGCTTGATGTTTTCTGAGCTCCAGCCTGCAAATCCCTGGGAGGACTCAATTTCTGTTCCACTCTTATTCTGAAAGGTATAGCTCTCTGGCATGCCAGCTTTTTGTGGGAAACATGTTCTATTAGACTCATTGTATGTGGGCTTTGGGTTTTGATTTTTGTCCCATTCAATCCAGGGTAAGGTCTGATTTGCTAGAACCAAATATGGTTTGTCTTTATATCAAATGTGGTTTCCAGGCATCTCTGCTCCATTTCTCTCTGGATTATGGTTATCTTCACTTTGGGCCTGATAACTCTCTACTTACTTGTCAGTTCTTGGATGCCTTCAGAAATTTTTTAATTTATATTTTATCCAGAAATTTTAGCTGTTTTCAGCAGG